TGTGGGTCGAAGTGCATGCTTCAGGTGCAGATGGTTAGAGCGGTTAGGATGAAATTTATTTATTTGTCTAGCAATAGCAATTTGTCCCATAACGCCCTCCCATATGAACATCCTCATTAACTTCTGCAAGAAGTTATACTTCATTTTCCAAGCTAGTCACAGTCTGGTTCCGGTTCCTCTTGCTAGCAGGCCACTTTCTTACGCCACGAATTTTCTAACCTCTTGAAAATTTTGGATGTTGGAGCCACACGGTCAGGGTATCTTCGGGCATACAATTGTGCTGTACGCCTAGCCTTTTTGTGTCATTCTCCATAACGTATCCATAACCAAGGATCATGTCGGTTTTTTCGTTATTGAATGCATAGGCGTTTTTCTGACACTGACCAACGTCAACACTGACGTTTCTATACATTTAGCAAACTTTGATACAATTTAATTTTGAAACATTTTTTGTAATCCAGATACAGACGGAATCGGTATTTTCGGTTGCCTATTTTAAAAACATAAATAGGTCATCTTAGCTGAATAATCCTGTATAACATCAGAAGAACATTATTATTATTATTATTATTATTATTATTAGAAGATATTGTGAAACCATAGTCTGGAAAAGGCAATAATTTCAAGAAAAAGGAGAATCAAAGCGAAATTGTTTATAACAACTTTAATAAATATTATTCTAGTGATATTTGAGTTAATAAAATGTAATAAATATGTACATAATTAATTAAATTCATTTGAAGAGTTTAACAAATTAATTTGACATACATTTTTTTGCTGAAATTTTTTTTTAATGAATCCCATTGGCCGAATTTGAAACTATACCGTCAGGGCATTGGTTAAAAATTTGCGCGTTGGATTGTCATGCACAAAAAAAAAATCAAAGTTGGGTTTTTCAAATGTTGGGCCAATTTTCTTACACCAATTAGAACAGAGTCGATAGAACGCTTGTTAACAGGAGATACCCCCTGTTATTTACGTGTCACTGTTGGCAGTCTCTTGGCTGAAATTTGAAAAGTTTGGAAATACCATGGAGGTAATATGACAGGAGGGAGCGTTCCTTATTTAAGCAATGTTAAAGGAACGCCATTATGACCCTTTCCGTATTACATCGGAAATGGTCGGTTGTCAACAAAAGATTTGAGGCGGTGCACTTTGGTACGAATGGGTTCACAAGTAGCAAATAGTAAAAGAATTTGCTCTCTACCCATTCATGACCCTTACCATTAAAATCGATTAAATGTATATGTATTTAATCAATGCCATTAATTTGCTACATGTTAATTTTTGCATCATATGTCCAGCGTCTCCACAAGCGCTTGCAAGCACGCCACTGGAACAACCAGTCGAAAGCGCGGTATCAGGCGCTTTTTCAAACTATCTTCCCTTTTCTTATTCTACTTCCATGGAAAATACGGTATGCAAAAGTCTCAAAGGAGATTATATAATTACGTACCTGCAACAATACAACAACTTCTAGTCAGAAAATTGTTAGGTTATTGTTATATTTGACAAGCACGTGCACTTTTGTGATGTTGCCACATTTAAGTCTGTGGCGGTCTGTGACGTCACAAACCGTACGTCTTCGTTTAAAAATGAAATAAAGATTACACACGTTTTAAACAATTATTGTTAACAATTCATACGAAATTTTCTGCAGACATCGATTAATGATATCGTCGTCCTGAAATCTACAAATTTAAGATACTATCACGGTCAAAAAAATGGAAACACCTAACCTGCTCATGTCATCGATTTTTAGTTAATTTTTTTATTTTAAGTGTAATTTCTCTGTCACATTGATGTTTTTAAAAGACGTCAGGAAATCTGAGGCGTCCATTCTAAAGCAGACACAAAATACATTTAACAAATAGGTACAACTGAAAAATTAAATAAAAATCGATGACATGAACAGGTTAGGTGTTTCCATTTTTTTGGCCGTGATAGTACATGCATGTAGCCTATTGTGTAACTAAAGTTATTTAGACAGAACTTCCCTTGTCCCTGAAATACAGGCGAATACCTAAATAATACAGGTTTTTCGAAAAATTATAAAATTTAATTTAAAAAACTGTAGCTATGCTTTAAAAACATCCGTCGTTACACCGCAAATAGATACGAAAATTAAATTGATCTTTCACTTTCAAATAATCGCCAACGTAATAGCAAACATATGGAGCCCCACTGGATATACGAAATTCTGACGCAGTTATGGATAGTTATTAATTAAACTCCTTTCAAGTAGTATGTATAAATCCGTTCACATACAAAATGTATAGCAAAAGTTATATACAGTGCATCTTTTTTAAAAGTGTGCATAGGAATTTCCATGGTAAATTTTAGGCACTATGTTAACTTTTCCTAGGGTGAAAACTCAGAGATGATTTTTGCAGCGGAAATAACCTTAGGGTTCTATTTTAATTTTCACTACAACTTTTTGTAATAAATTGCTAATTTGTGCTTTAAAAAATAAAAATTATTTTGGTTAAAAAGTCCATGTACATCATAGAAGGTTTTGACTTACCATTTGGACAGCATATTTTTGCACTTTTTATAAAAGAAACAAAATGATGGAATTCAAACATTAATAACGAAAATAAAAGACAATTTCACTGAAATTGCGTTTTTGATGTCCACGATCGAGACAATCTGTATTTATAAAACTGGCATAAAATTTATAAATTGTGCTCTTGTCGTTAGCCTTTAATGTATTCAGTGGCCATTTCCACTTTTTCTTTAATTGTGTACTGCTGTATATTGACGAATTTCAGTCAATAAAAACCAGTAATCCAATGAGTAATTAAATTTTAGAAACGTTTGTTTTAACATAGCCGCCTACAAAATTACCGATAAACGTATCCAAATAATTTATTTTTTTAAGAAATATCCTTTATTTTAAAGCATAACCTTTAATAAAATCGACAAAAGCGGACCCAAATTACATCTTGTGAAAATTTCAGCTATGAATCTTTACTCAAACATAGGTCGTTAACATGGGATATAAAATTTATCAGGGGAATCCCTAGGGTGACTTTTAAAAAAAATGCACTGTACAATAACCCCTACAAGTTAAAACAAGTGTAATACCTAAAAACCCGGCAAAACAATGAACTAATTCACGCACCTTCATTCAACTATCGGCCAAAAACCTATTGAACTTTGTCGATAATTTCTGGTATGACGGCAGTTTTTGGTCCTCCAGAACGTGATGCATCTTCAACAGATGTTCTCGTGCGCTTGAACTCATTCGCAAAACCGAATGGTTTCATAAAAGGAATAAGTATGAATCGCCCATTGTAAGAAAAATCTTATGGATTTCTCTCGCAGTTTTTTCTTCAAATTACGAATTTCAATTTTCTCCTTTTTTAAGTAAAAAGCAGTCGACACACTAGTTTTTAGTTAATTCCTAAACGAAGAATTACGGGCAGGACGACTTGTGCAGGAAGCCTACTGGAAGTCTACATATGTAGTTACTGCTTTTTCTTCTTTCACCCTCCAAGACGATGCAAACCGAGTTATTCATCAAACTACCCTCGAAAGAACCTTCCCGAATGAACTGGCTTTCAAACAAAATAAACCGCATTGAAATCGGTTCATGAGTTCACCTGAAAATGTCGAAAACGATTATGTTTGCTAGTAAAGTTCCACCATTTGAACAGTACCTGGTAAAATTTTATTGGTAATTCAAAATTAACCATCAAGGGTGGACACACAAAACCATAAATCACAAATTCAATGAAACCCTGGATGTTTCTAGCCCACTATATACCTTTTATTGGAGTCATTATCTCCCTGCATTTTCCGACAATCCCTCACAGTAGCGGTTGTAAAATTATACTAGATGATGTTGAAATGTTCGTAATGTACTGTGGTTATATACTTATATTCGCAAACAGGTGAGGGTTGGGTTGCATGCAGCTCGTACGGTGGTTGGGCACATAGCTCTTGCGCTAGAGTGGACGATAAGGACGACGAGCAACATGTCTGTGGACATTGCAGGCCCGACTGAATTCTTTATTCTTTTTGCCCGCGATTGACAATATAATTGCTGTTTTTAACTAAAAAGTTTATCAGTAAAGGTGTTGATTTTCAAGATAAAAGAATTTTTGTCAAACTATCTCATTTCGCCCCTAGTTCCCATATTATTAGCCAGGAATACCTCTTTAAACAGAATGGTATTTTCAGGTGAAGCTACTGTTTGTCTCAATGAGATTTTTCACTAAGATTTAAACGATCAGATTCATCTGAATTTATAGTAGAATGTTTCCAAATTCATTTAATGCCCTAATGTAAACTGAAAATATTTGGTTCCAACAAAATGGAGGCTCCCGCATTTTGCACTAGACGTCCGTAGGTTAGATTAGACCATTGTCAACTTGCAAAACAGAAAATAAAAACAAACAAACGAACGAACGAATAAACGAAAAACAAACAAAAAACATTAATCTTACATATAAGAAGAAGAAGACATAAGAACGCATCCATGTAACTGTTTTATACATAATTTATATATAATTTCTATATGATGGGTTCTTTTTCTATACTTGTGTTTTTGACGTAAGAATATTTTATTTATAAGACAAATAAATTATTATTAAATTAAATGATTAATTAATGAAATGAAAGCAGAATAAATGATTATTAAATGAAAAAATATACAAGTGTTTTATTAAAGAAATTAATTTGAATACTTTCCAGCTAAACTAGAAGTGTAAAAAAAATTGAAAATGCCATCTGTCAATTCTTCATTTTTCCAACATATTCTGGAAAAATATCGAAATCGCTTTTCAAAGAACGATATCGTTCCAAGACTTTTTGCGCACTATGTATGTAACATATGAGATGTATTAGATGCATAGAGGATTCATTGTTTTGAAATATTCAAACTATATGCTATACTATATGCCATAACGAAAATATAGATATTGAAAGTTAATTCTACAGTTATTTCCGGAGTGATTAAACATCACCAGGACGTAGATTTAAAGAAGATTCTAAAAAAAGATACAACAAACGGGTAATATTTAATAGTTATAGTCTAATATCTGACAAGTCAATTACACAATCTACATTTAAGTAAAAATATTACAATATCTTATGGATAATACCAGATATGATGGATGATGGTGACTAGTGGCAATGACGACAAAGACGGTCATGACGACGATGTCTTAAGACAAGCAGTGGTGTCTAAACTCTCACACTTGCGTATGAGTATTGCTGTGAGCTTGCTCTTGTTCGTTACTTCCTGCTATCTGATTGGCCGGAGTATAATACTGTAACAATTTTAAAAGTAAATTGTTTTGATAACGCTATATAATAATTCCTAACAGAAAGAGGAGTACACAAAAGTTGAAACGTACCTAAACTTCTACAAAAGCTCTATGATTTTGTTTAAAAACCAAAAATTTCGTATTTTTAAGATTTAGCAGTCTCCCAGACACTTCGGTACCACCTAGATTCAAAGACAAAGTTGTCAGCAATTGTTAAATTACAAACTATCAGACAACAGAAATGAAAACTAACTAGGTATGCTTTTCAAAAATTGATGGTATTAAGTATGGAACGTCGATTTTATCAGATGACATCGAACTCATTTATTTTTGAGTTTAACCTTTCGACTCCGGATTTAAAAAACTTACATAGTTGACGAGGTTTACCTATAAAGTTGCGAACATTTTCTTTATTATACACTATATAGTAAATTTATACACAGACAGAATTTTTTTTTAATGTAACGAAACCATATAATTGTACCAAATTAATTTTTTTTTTCTGTAGATCTAAATTAAGACCCACCACTGACCCGGAAATGACCGGCATTCAGGCAAGACTTCTATCATTACGGGTACTAAGACCAAGTAATGATATGCATTGATTAAATTAACAGAACAACTTTCGAGATTCTAGAGTTACAGCATACAAATTAGTCTGCTATTATTCTCTAATCTCACCCCATCCCCAAAAGTCTAGCGTAACCACCGACCATTTATCCGCGCATCACTTGGAAAGTGACCTACACTACTCTGACCTACTGGTGCTAACCTAATCTGACTGACATGATCAGACTGTTCAAGAAACTTACGAACAATATGACATGTTCCTAACAAAACAGCTTTTTGAATTTTGATAATTATTGAATCATTCAAATGCAAAGACTTTAAATTCTCAACTAAGCTATTTGGAACTACACCTACATTAGAGATAACTAGGGGTAAAATTGAAATTTTTTTAAGATTCAACATGGATTTCATTTCTATCGATAATTGTAGATATTTTGAAATCTTGGTGTGGTATGTTTGAATAATGCTGTTTGTGTTAGGAATAGCAATGTCAATGAGAATGGCTTCGTTCGTGTTTTTTTTGATAAGTATGATGTCTGGTCTGTTAGCTGTAATGTTTAAGTCTGTAAGTATTGTGCGATCCCAGTATAATTTGTATTTGTTATTTTCAAGGAACGGAGATGGAATGTAAGTGTAATAGGGTGTCGTATCTTCGATTAAGTTCATAAGTGTTGCTAATTCTTTGTGGATGATTTTGGCGACGTTGTCGTGTCTAGCTTTGTAGTCAGTTTGTGCTAGGATGCTGCAGGAAGAGATTATGTGCTGGATCGTTTCAGGTTTTGCTTTGCAGAGGCGACAGCAGTCGTTTCTTATGTTCGGATCTTTGATGATGTATTTTTTGTAATTCTTGGTATTGATTAGCAAACACAAATCCTTCTGTTTCGGCATACAAACCTGATTTTTTTAACCAAATCAATGACATCTTCTTATTGACATGAGTTTCTTCTAAGTCTTTGTAGAATTTTCCATGAAGTTGTTTTTGTTTTAGTCCACTTATTATTTTATCTATTGTGTGGGGGGTGTGGATTTCTTCGGTGTTCGACAGATTTAAGGGTGTGTGGTTCAAATCTGCTCTTGTGATGGTGCGAAACATTTCATTATTTTTATAATATTGTTTCTTTTTTATATTGCAGTGTGCATTGCACAGATATTTTTGACATATACTGCAAATATTTCTTGTCCTTTTGTCTACTGTTCTCGCACATAGTGAACATCTCCGTGAGGTTGAAGTAGTTGATCTTGTTTCTTCATTTGGAAGGTCTTGATTCTCTTCTTTAGGCGCCAATAATGTAATTGAATTCATAATATGTTGTTTACACGATAATCTGTTTCTTGCATGTGGTTTCATTAGCTCTCGTCCAAGTTCTAAAAGATAGTCCTTTCTATATCTGACTGAAAGTTTAAATTCGGGCTTTTTTGTGGTCGATATCGTGTACCCGTTTAGAGCGGCATTCTAAAGCTGTAGTTAGCTTGATCTTCCTCTTTGGTTAAATCTTTTTAGACATACTAACAAGTAACGTACACACACTGTTAACACCAAATCTAAAGAAATTGTGGTCCGCACAATAGTAGCACCCACCATATCACCGAATAGCTGATCCCAGAGAAAAATACGTGGTTGACGAAGAGGGACACAATTGTGTCCCAGCCAATATTTTATTTTATTTTATTTGCGTAGATAAGAATAAAAAGTTGTACTTCATACAGAAGATGAATAACTATATTTGCTACAATTAGCGAAAATACCAAAGTAAAGAAAAAATTGTTAACAAAAATATTGGCAAAAAACTGCTTCTGGGACACAAGTGTGTCCCACTTCGGAGTCCAAAGGTTTTAAGATTGGTCCTAAACCTACGTGCATCTCTGTTAGCTTCAGCTGTATAGCTATGTGTTTTTTTAAGTGAGAATAGAATCATTAACGCTTGCAAAATGTGGAGACCTATTAAGTATATTATCACATAGATTTTAGGTCTGTCAATTTACAGATAATACTGTTAAATCAAATTAGAACTGGACCGCAGTTGTTGGTATTTTTTTATTTATCTCGCCCGTTTGAAACGATGAAACGATAGTTAAGAAAAAATACAGCATTAAATTAACTGAAATTGAGCGAGGGATTAGGTAACGCGGAAAACGGAAAATATGGAGAATGAAAATGGGACAAGACGGCAAATTATGGTTAAATCTATACGAGTAAACAAGACATACATCTACAACAAGATACAAGAGGTGAAGTCATATGAAATTTTGGCAAGGATTTTATGGCTGTCGACAAAATTTGATGACCTGTATCGTGTTGATGTTCTGCTATAGCATTCCTTGTCATCATTTTTGAACAGCTCTTTCTCTATCTATAAAAGTCTTCACACTGTTCTTTAAGCTTCAAAAGATATTTATCATCGGTGTTGCTCTTTCCTCCCCTAAACTTCTCGTTCTTACTGTCATTCATTTCTTACGAAAGTGAGCGAACCGTAGAAAGTCTTTTCAAATTTGACATGATCGAAACTCGGAAAACGTGTTTCTGTTGATGACTCTGGCAGTGAAAATCTTCGATTCCTTTGCAAAAAAGATCTTAATCTTGGTTTAGATGGACCATAAAAATGTAGTTCCATATTTCATTCTTAAACTCGAAATAAATACGTTCAAAACAATCCTGCAGGATGACTCACTTAGCGTCCTATTTCATTTCTTCTTAAAAATTGTATTCACTTTGAACCTTTAACGTTTTTTTGGTACGTCAGAATTATTGTCTCTTCATTCGAGCATCGAGTAAAAAAATAATACATAGGTACCTCAAGAATCAAATGAACGTATAAAAAAGTGACTCGGCCTAATCAAGACTCAAGATCGCAAGCCCCACTGATGTCTGAGATTCGTGATTCAAAACTACAAGCTCAAATTATACAGTGAAAGGTATTGGGTGCATAATCTGTTGAAAACCGTAGTTCCATTCTAAATCATTTCTACATTATTTTGTTTTTAATTTTCCATAGCTTTCAAATAGAATTCATTTTATAAGAAACAAAAGTCGTGGAAGCCAAAGCTGGAAAACATTTCTGCAAGTTCTACCGATATGTACAATTAGTTCCTGACATTTTGGATTGTCTTGAAGTCTGTGAGGGTAGGATAGAGGTCCACCTCAGCCTTGTTTGAAACTGTTGTTGCAGTTGTTTCTTAAATCAAAAAAAAAAACTTTCAACCTGCTGCAAAACAAACCATTTTAACATTAGAGTGGTTCCCAGAAACGAATTTGTTTCCATCTACTTTGTTGATTTGAAAGAGTAAGTATTGTTTTTAATGTTGTTTTAATATTGTAGTTAATTTTGACGGCGCCAATGCTGAAACATGTTCGAAAAGACATTTTTATGCACGCAACTCCTTCATGACAGAAAAACTTTCCAGCGCATGAACCTAAGCCTAAACATAAAGTAATTCCTATCGACCAGACTTGGAACTTGAAGACACATCTCAAGTATTTACTTACCCTTCCATTGTCGATGTCTCGTCCGACTCCTATGGTCAGACGAGCTTTTGCTTTCATAGCATCACTGAGAGGTATTTTTGCTCTTACAGCTTCCGTATGAGATTTATAACAAAATTCTATAAGAGCTACTGCCAAAGCAATCATTAGGCCACCAATTAAGATGTAGAAAATCCCTGCGACATTACTTAAAGACAGCTCATTTCTAGCCGCGTCCTACAGAAAATTAAAACGTCTGAGAATTTATATTTTTTGTATGAATGATTTATTTTTAGAAAATTTTAAACCAGCAGTTTACCTGTTTGTCATGTATGCATTCCGTTCGGTCGTACCACCACCTATTAGTTAGCTTCGTTAGCTCGCCATTTTCTTTTAAATTAAGAACTGCTAAATTTATTGCTTCCCTACCAACAATCTTAGTTTAGTAAAATATTATAAAAATGGAACATACACTTATATTTACCTTAAGGGTGAACCCAACGGAGTTGCAACTCCAAACCCTTTGGAGTCTAGATTTCTACCAACTTTCATAGTATCACATGGTTCCCTTTCATTGATGTAATCGTTCTTGGGAGATTCTATTAACAAAGCATATTTGCCTTTTGATGTGCGAACTCGCCGAATCCCTTCATCATATGTTTTGACGAAAACATGTTTTCTTGAGTTCATATATTCCCACATTTTTGAATAAAGCGTTATTTGAGATCTCTATAAAAACCAAATCGAAACAAAAATAAAAAAATTAATATATCCCTTGTATGATGGTATAACGTACTGATTTTATGCATTACATTTTACCATAAAGGTGTGAACTTTAACAGGAAATCTGCAACGTCATTTCAGTATTTTGCCGAGTAATTTCTATTTAAATTTTACAAAATAATATGCTCTTATACTTATGGTCTATTGAGCGATCCCTTTTCCGATTTCACCAAAAATACATGGATTTTTGAAAAAAAAAAAACGAAATTATACAACAAAATTTTATTTTCATCATTAAATTAATTATTCTGAAATTTAACATACCTTTTGCACTTAAAAGTTTGATACGTTAATTCTCTTTAAAAAGTGTGAAACAATATGTGTCTGTAAGTATGTATAGTTTATTAATTACTATATAGGCATTATCATAAAAAATAAAATATGCAAAATCAGCTTTTATAATTGTTTATCTAAGAAATTGAATTTATTTATTGCACATTCACGCTTACTAAAAACTCCAGTCTATATTTTTGGCATTAAAAATATCTGCAGTTTATAACTTACGCCTAGATTCAATGTTTCATCAGTCATCTAACTTTAAACCCTATAGTAAAGAATTTGAATAAATATTGCAACAAAGAGACAAATAAATCTATGGAAGGGTGAAAACGATCAATTCCGAAGAGTGTCTAACACTAGGGCGCATCGACCTTTAGTTCCCTAAGATCACTATATGTGTATTTATATCACTTTTCAAAGTGTGACGAATTCCTGATATTTGCAAATAATTGAGGAATCCCACTATGTATGTATTATACAAAGTAAGAGTGACAGTAGTTGCATTCTTATTGTGGCACTAATGACTCATACAACAAGATCGATAAGACCGGTCGTAACGGCGGTATAAAACACTGTTGAAAAATTCATCCAAAATTTATGCACAAAAACAAAAAATATATTTATCTATATATGTATTTCATTTGCCACACCTCCCCTACTATCCAGTCCCGTATGGCTTCCTCAGGTTACGCTGATAGTAAACTAAACTGTCACTTCTGGCATTGTCTTACGGAATACAGGAATTAAGCTACTATGAAGTGAAACGTAATATTGAAAATATCAATGGCGTGTACATACAAAATTTTCACAGATTGCTACTGTTCCACAAACAGTTACTTTTTTGAAAATCATTGGGCCTTAGACACAAAATAGTATATATCTACGTCATTGACACTAACATCTAAATATGTCTAGGTGAACACCAAGAACATCTGGAAGGTATTGCATAGCTCTTCTTTACTGGCCAGCAGGTTGTCGTTTTATCGCAGTTGCAAGTATTTACTGTTTTAATAAAAACTGAATTTTGTTTTGTTATCTTTTAACAGAAAACTAGCTTCTAATTTGTAATATCTTAACAGTTTATAAATTAATTGAAGAACTGAACGATGTTAACCAAAAACGTACTAAGCGCCAAATCGCAAAAAATGGGTTAAACATCGTAACAGTCAGAATTTAATGTCAAAAACTAATTTGTAAAAATCCTTTATTTGTCTTAATTATTTTTATACCAAAATTTGTGGTAGAACTATGCGCCTTTAATAAATCTGGAATTATGTTTTAATCAAAAAGGTACCAAGCGACACAGCACTTGTTTTAATTGGATGTGCAGTGCTTTGTTTCGTTGTAACTAACCTACAAACTTAGTGTTTTATAACCGTCAATTTTGGCTCTATAATGAGGGTATTTACTCCAGTAAAAGAAGGAAAGTACACTATTTTATTTGGAAAAAAAGAAAATAGGTCGTGGCGCACAAAAGGTGGGATGTTGTCTTAAGAGCTTAATACCTACTGAAAATTTTACCAAAAAGGATATAACAGAACTGACTATGTGGTCTGACTCTGGTGGGCGTCAAAATTGTAATATAAAAACTGTATTCATGCTAAAATCAATTTTATATCAACATTCTACTTAACAAACGATTTGTTGAAATTTTTTGTTTCGGAAGATAGTTTTTTACCAAATGACAAAGATTTTCGGGTTATTAAGTAGGTACGAGTATATACGCCACAAGATTACGCCAATATTATGTTAAATTGTAGAAAGAAAAATCCACTTATTGTTTAGTTTATGCAGAAAGAACATTTTTGTAGTGAAGCCAAAGTGTCATAAATAGAAGGCATACATGAACAAAAAATTAGACGCTTGAAAACAAGAGTGATTAAACTTACTAAAGATAAACCGCTTTCTATTTTAATGACAAATAATCAGGAAAATCTACAATGAAGTTTTGATGCATAAAAGGAAAAGACTTCTAAAAATTTTGGAAAATTGTCTACATTATCGCCCAATGGAAAAGCAATATCGCGTAAAAAGTTGGCAGATCTAAAAATATTATGTCCTTTTATTCCCGAGGATACAAAACTCTTTTACAAAAACTTACGGGGAATAAACTGTGAATTTGATATGGAGGGTTTTTCAGATGATATCGATTTCTAATTAGGGGAAACAAATTTAACTTAATCATTTTTGTTTTTGTTTCATGGCATATGTTCCTTTTTGTAGCAGGTCGTTAAATTAATATAAATATATATAATATTTTTCAAAAAATTACTTTGTGCCTTTTTACGGAATAAGAAATTTAATATTATGGTTCTCTCAAAAAAGAACTAAGCGCCAAAATGCTTCCTTAAAACTGTAAAAACTGTAAAGGACTGGGTGTTTTTAATGCCATTAACAAAATAGACTACATTCATAAAGTCACGTATTCTTAAGGCAAAAATTTTATTCCGACATTAATACAAATTTTTAGTTTTTAATGAAAGTTTACTCTAGTATTACTCGAATTGCAATTTTGTCGCTTAATACGTTTTTGGTTCACGTGGTCCAACTAATGAATTTTAGGTAGGTAGGTATTTGTATTTTTGACCATCACTGAGACTTTTGTAAATTATTTCAAAACTCTGACAAGCATTGAACTAAACTAGTATAATATACAGATTGTCTATATATTCATACATCCAGTACTCGTTGGAAAAAAGGATCAATGTAGATTAAAGAATATTGCCGCTTCTAAAAAATTAAATTCTTAGTTGCAATTTTATTTTTACAATAAAAATTTAAATAAGTCGCAAAAAATGTTGAAAGTGGTCTCCATCTTATTGTAAACACAACCTAACCCTTCTCCGTTTATTCTAAAATATATTTCGTAGCATTTGTTGATTAAAATTGTTGCAGAAGTTCATAATTTCTTCCATTAGTTCATTCAATGCATTCTTCTACTTGGTGGAACATCAACTTACGACGACACTTTCTTATTGGTTTATTAGGACTTTGTTCTAATCTATTCTTTACATCCTGAACACTTTCATCACTGGCTGAAGGTCTTCCTGGTAATTTGCCTTTATTTACACTTTCAGTTCTCACAAATCTATCAACCATGTCTTTTCATGTGCTGAATTAATGCCTATTCTGTCACGTTTTCATCCGTAAATTTTGCCAAGTACTCGTTTTTACAGGCACTAACTGAAAATGTCCATTCTTCTTGTATTCCTGTACCTAATTTCAGTTGATTTGTACAATTGATTCTCAAAATATTTAACGGTTTCCATAGATTCTAGCGACCCTGTATAAATTTGAATAGGTGGAGTGTAATACCAATAACAACAGTACTGGATACTCAAATTTTAGAGAAAACGGGTGAGCCGTTCTTGAATTAAACAATAAAGTAGATTGCCTCATTCATCAATTTTTTTGGGTTTCCCTGTATAAGTAATTCCAAAGAATATGAATGTATTCATAATCCAAAAGTACAGATTCATAATATTTTACACATTTGAGATACATTTATTCGGAATAATTTTGCAATGCTTACGATGACCTTACTACACTTGCAAGATTGCAGCACATTTGATTTTACAATTCAAAGTTAAGTTCAAAATGTTGATGTACAGTTTTGTTTTTTTTTTTTTTCAAAAATGTGGATATCTAGAGAAAAAACTCAACATAAACCACAAGCACAGGAGTATGTTGTTTTACATATATATGTATAAAATTTACTATTGCAAATTTTGGCGATGACGTCATCCCACTGTTAGTGACTTGCTAAGTTTTGATTATTATTGGAGGAATAATTAGCCACCTTTTAGTTAGCGTTTTACCATCTAGACGATATTCCTTATATATATGCAAAATTCAATAACAATCGGTAGGATGGTTTCGGAAATTATCTTTATAATAAAATTCGTCAGAGATAACAGACGACAGACAGACAATAGACAAACCGAAATGGGAAACCACTTTGTTCGTACTCTGGGCGTCATGAAACGTCGAGAAAATATAATAGTAGCAAGTCGCCCAATGGACTCGACTACAGTACTTCCTTCGCTTATGGTCGGGAAGTAAGCAAATGGAAGTTGACTATAATTGATATGAAATTAGATCCTAAGTACCCCAGAAACCAAGATCACCGACCCCAGAAACCAAGATCACCAAGTTGACTAAAACAAAACACTCACACCTTATTTTACAATCAATAAGAACTGCTTCAAAAGCAGTTATTTTATTTAACATATGTTCAAATTGTCATAAAATGGTGGTTGTCTTTTAATTCACTCAACTTTCATTTTGTTATGTTTATAAATTTTATATTTTTTATCAACTGAAAATTAAATAAACAGCTAAGTATTATTATCATTGTAATCGCAATTTAACGGTTTATCAAAATTTGTAAAAAGATGTACGAGGATAGTCCCAGAAATACCCGACCTGACATAGAACACACAAAAAATTTGGGAAAAGGAATCCTTATTTTTCAAAGTAGTCCCCTTGTATATAATTCTATACACTTTTCCCAGCGATGTGCAATGGCTACGATACCCACTTTATAGGAAGAATGGTCGAATACCTCAAAATAGCCATTACCGCAGATTCTGCCTCTTTATTGTTGGAAAATTTTTGACTAGCGAACCATTTTTTCAAGTTTAGGAAGAGAAAATAATCCGAGGGGG